TTTGGTGGTCCCCAAAACTCGTTTTAAATCTCGGGGGGACCTGTCTTTTCAGGTCGTAGCTCCAAGACTGTGGAATGCCCTACCCTTGACTTTACGTATGACTGAATCTATTGATGATTTTAAAAAACAGCTGAAGTCACATTTATTTAGACCGTTTTTTTAATTGATTGGGTTTATTCATTTTATAAATTGTGTTGTGCTATGTGAGTACTTTTAGGCTTATGTATATTATTTATCTCTTTTTATATTTTGACTTTGTAAAGCACTTTGTGACCTTGTCTGTGAAAGGTGCTATATAAATAAAATGTACTTACTTACTTACTTACCCACTTACTAATGTTGTATCAGAACAGATTGGCATTAGACTTTGTTCTGACTGAAAAAGGGGGTGTTTGTACTATGTGTAGCAAATCCCCGTTATTGTCATTTGATTTATTATAGATAGGCACCGTCGTCTTGTGCATTTATGTCAGGCATCCATACAGTTCAGCACTATTAATAGTTAACATTATGATTGGGCAACAGTGTTGTACTTACATCTTAATACTGCTCCTGATGGCTCTATTGACAGGGTTGAAATTTTTATCGCTGACCATTCAGAAATTAAAAATTACATTGATGATTGGTTTGTTAAAACTTTTGGCAAGTGGAAAAACTTGGCGATTTCTTAGTTTACATCTTTTGTGGCAGCAGTTACTTTGCTGACCTTGTGTGGATGCAGCTGCATCCCCTGCATTAGGCATCTTTGTCTAAAGTGTATCACCACTGCCACTGATAATAGATATCCCAATATCCACGGGAAACCATGCCCAATGATCTCACTCACTGAGCCCGGTGAGTCTGAGATTGAAGAGGACCCCTTCGACAGGGAAGAAGACTGTGTCTTTTCTACATACTCTTGCTAAGGGTTAACACATATCCACATATATTCTTGCATACACGTAGGTGATGTGGACTCATAGGTGTGTGATTGATTTTGATTATTGAATAGAATTTTGTGATTGTGTGTTGATACTGGAAGAAGATCTTTAGTCTCCAGCATAATGTTTTGATTAACCAATGAATGTTTGCTACATGCTGTTTAGAAATTTTCCACGTTTTTGTCTGAAAAATGCTATAATTGCAAGGAAGACCAGCTTACACATAGAAGCCTACATACAGGATCACAGCAACGAAGACCAGCTTACATGCCATTATTTTTATGTTATTATTTGAGATTTTTCCCTTAGGTACTCAGCTCTGGGCTTTCCCTGGAGGGGGTGGTTTGGGGGGGCCTCTCTCCTCCTTGGATGCCTAACCTGGGGACAATAGGCACATTTGATTTAGATTGACACAATAAAAATTGTGTCAAAAGGGGGATTTTGTTAGAAATCACTACAGCACCCACTTTCAACTTACGAAGTCATGGGATTCATCAACATAAGAATACAGGTGTGAACAATTCTGTGATTTAAGAACACGAATCAGGTGTGGACTATAGTTCCATCAATCTATTAAACAGAGGAATCAAATCAGTCCAAGTGTGAAAATCGTAAATCCTCAGTTCAATGAATCTATTTACTGGAAACAAGAGATCATGTCATGAATCAGATGTGGACTTTTCTTAGGACCTGTCTTAAGAACAACCTACAATGAAATGTAACATTTAGGGAGATGTTAGTGTGTTTGTTTTCTACCTCTGTTAACCAATCATCTGTCATTTGGGTCAGTGTGGTAGCAGAGGAATGTTTTTCTTTCTGTGCATGTTGGAAAACTAAATTATTTAAATTATTCATAAAAAAAAAGCTGCTTATATACCACTTTATTCACATTGTAGGTGCATTCCCACTCTGAGAGACAGAATTTAAAAAAAAAATTCAGGAAATCACATTGTATGATTTTTAAAGAATTTATTTGTCTTGCACTGCTGAACATAAGTATTTGAACACCTGAGAAAATCAGTGTTAATATTTGGTACAGAAACCTTTGTTTGCAATTACAGAGGTCAAACGTTTCCTGTAGTTCTAACAACACCAGCCCGGTCCACAGCAATGGTCAGAGGCATCCGCAAAAGCAAAGCGCCAGAGGGCAGCCACCCCACTCCTCTTCCCTCATTTTCTGGTACGCTTCCTTTGTGAGCAGACGAAGTAAGAACACCGAAGATATGCTGGTATCTTTGCCAGTAATGGTGGGACAGTCTTTGAGTTATCCCAGCCCGTATAACTGGGACACTTTTCCATAAACGAACAAATATTAAGAAGGGCGGCGGGATCATACATTAGTAGAGCTGATGCATTCCAAGTGACAGACGACAGAAACAGCACAAACAGTGAAAACAGTAACATACACCGGAGAGGCTGACAGCAGGCCATGAACAGCGGCACCATCTTGCAAGATTAGTCCAAGTTTTTGTGCATGAATGTGCAAAGAGTGTGCCATTCATGGAACATGCTCATTTTTCAGTGAACAGGTGAACTGAACAGCTCACTTTGCAACTAGAGAATGTGAACTTAAGATTTGTGAACAGAAAAGGCTGCATTTACTTAGTTTCTTATATTGCTACTTTTCTGTCAGATGAAGAAGAAAGTTGCCCATCTCATGAGTCAGACTTGGGGAGTAGCTAACATCTAGTCTATAGTCACCGTTCTTGCTCATGTGCACAGTGGCACATGGCAAATATGATGTCACAACTTATCGTTTAGGAGAGTACTGCAGCAAATCAAGCATGAGTGCAAACGGGTTTGTTTCTATGTTCCAATGCATAACAATGAGCACAGCATAACCATGGCTTAATGCTCCAGCATTACTGGCTACAGGAGAACTTACCACTGTAAACAAAAGTGACAGGGGTTTTTACTAGAGGCCAGAAAATTTTTAGTGTGTCTACATTTAAGTCTCAGAGATGAACATTACTGGAAAAAGAAGAGCGATGTAGTCGTATCCTTGTTGGCTGTCACTGTCGCACCGTTTCAGAATCAAAATCTTTATTACCAAATACGTTTAAAACACAAGGAATTTGACTTGTATTCAGCAGCCCCCAACATGCTTCTGTAAGTCAACCAGAAAGATGTGAATAAAAAAAAAAAAAAATAAATCTAAGATATTGAAATTAAGTGTGAAGATGGGTGCTAGCTGATTAGCACTGGGCCTGGTGCCTGTCTGATCTTCTGGTTTTTTTAAAAGGCCACGCACATCCTTTTATAATAATAATAATAATAAAATTTATTTATAAAGCACCTACCAGCTCAAAGAGCACTAGGTGCTACATAAGGAAAA